TCGTTTAAATATTTTTGTTTTATTATGTAGGTAAGTTATTTTTTTTCTACTTGAAATATAATTTGAAAACGAAATTTGGACAAAACTCGATTTAAAAGTGGTACATTAGGACGTAAAACGATCTGTAGAATCCAAAAAACAAAAAATGTACAGGGTGTGTCATTTGAAAATCGAAACTTTCGGTAATTTCCGGTGAAACCGGAAGTCAGAAAAACTTGTCTTGGATGCATAAAAATCACGTTTCGTTAGAATATCAAGCCTACCAAGTTTCGTTTACATCGATAAACAAATAAAAAAATGGCAGCCGGAAAGTAATCTCGTGGGCACCCGGTATGTTTGGCATATAAATTCAAATCTATCGATTTACAATAATCATTTAGTAATTGAAAATCCTCACAATAACTTTCGGAATTCGTATTTGGAAGCAAATTAAAAACCAATGTTGGCAACCCTCTGCAGGAATAATTATTACCAGGTGTGCACCCAATTTGCATTCCGCGCGCAATCGTCTCCTGCCCCTTTTTGGTTAAAAACCGAAGATATCGGTAGCAGGTACCTAAAGCGCGCAATTGACCTGTACCCGCAAGTTCAAAGTTTGATTTCAAATTTTGACGGTTGATAATGCTGTTATATTTATGAAATCTTAAGTCATTAAGCTTCTTAGATATTTTATTTTCTACTTAACTATTATAGATACATAATACCTAGGACACGAAATACGTTAACATACCTATAACAACCTGATCCATAACGCCCGCTTATAATACCCTGAGGTGTTTTTGTTGTTGTAGTTTTATCAATTTGCACTTTACCCTAGGCAGCCACTAAATGTCTGACCGAAAATAATTTTCGGTCTGGCCAGGATTCGAACCCGGTCTACCATCAACGTTTCCCATGTAGTCAAGTGCGTTAACCCACACGACCACCGTAGCCTTGCCTTATGAGATCTTTATAGGTATATTAATTTATTTCATTATGTTGTGAATTCTTAAACCTTCTTACTAATTATAGTTTTTTTTCTCGGGTATAGGTTTATTGGTATAGAACAAAAAGGCTTTTTTCTAGTTAGCTTGACGTTTCGCCATTATTTTATTTTGGCTTTATCAAAAGGTTGTTATTACAATTATTACCTCGAACTTATTTGGTAGAATCTTCAAAGTCATTTTGACCAAATAAAATAATGGCGAAGCTAACTAGAAAAAAGCCTTTTTGTTCTATACCAATAAACCTATACCCAAGAAAAAAAACCATAATTAATTTATTTCCTACTGAACTATTATTACCATATAATACCTTGGTTACGATAACTATAAACAGGGTCTTAACTCCCAAGGGAGTTAAGGATTTCATAACTCTCGCGCGGGAATTAAGGATATCATAGCTCCCAAGGGAGTTAAGGATTTCCATAACTCCCGCTTTTACCTTGAATAGGTGAAACCTTGACAAAAAATAGAAATTTTGGTTTATGGTTTATTTCTTTATAAAAATGGACAAAATACAGTAAATTCCAAACACAAACTTTGCCCTGGGGTATTAACACCCTCATAATTCCCTTGATACATAAATAACTATTATTTCGTTTCTAGGTACAGGTCACAGTTACAGGTACAGGTCACAGGTACAGGTACATGTCAAAATACAAAATAATATTCTGTCACACAAGTTTAACTGATTTTGTTAATAATAAATTGATGAAAGAACATTGTGTTGAGTAGAAAAATAAAGCATTGTATGCACCACGGGGATTTTAAGATTATAATGCCCTTCAGGCGAAATATATCCCTCGGGCTAGTTTCGCCTTCGGGCATTATAATCTACATAATCCTCTTGGTACATAAATAGCTATTAGTTTTGCCATATACAAATACAACAGTTTGTGAATGTTGTTATATTTTATCGCTCTTACAGAAAAAACACATTTAGAAACTTTTTTGTCTCTTGACAATTTTTGATAAACCTTACAGTGTTCGATATATTAGTAGAAATTTAATAAAAGAACGAAAAATCAAGATGGCGGACTAAATTTGGGTATGTTCCACCAATCACAGCGAAGGGGACTTTTAGTATGTTCATAGGGACACTAAAAACTATCGGACACGAGTGGTGGCAGCTTTAAGCTAATTTGTTGAGGTCAAGCTTATACCATTTCATAAGTGCACCGGAGTAAGTGGAGCAACAGACCATTTAGTCACAGAAGATATGTCAAATGTTATGTTGGAGACTGAAAATTTAAAAAACGAATATTAGCTATAGAAAAATTTAAATTTTTGTAGAAGTAGGTGTGATTTATTTTAAATTAAGTTGTTTGTGTTGAATATTTACCTACGTCAGTTCTTTTTATGTCTTATTATACCTTATTATTATTATTATTATTATTATATTATTGAATTTTAAAGTTTTAGTAGGGGTTTCCTGTAAGTAATAAATAAAAATAAAAAATATTGATAGACATTCTATTCGACTAGTGGTATTTCTAAGATGAAGGTGATAATCAGGCCCTTGGAATAACCTTTACCTAATATCAATTAAATTTTTTCAAAATTCAATATGTTTTCGATATTGGCTTCTAATGGTAACACGTCATTCACTACTTGTTTTTAAAATCTACACTTTTCCTTAAAGCTGCGTTAATGGCTGCCATGTTTAAATTTAGTTTTTGAAAATGACGACTGCGCCACTCTACACATACGGTTCAATATTTTATTTTTTGATGTTCGTTAATAGCAGACAGAGATACCTACCTTTTCAATTGTGCTCTCAATTTGCAATATTCTCGACTTCAGCGTTATCTGATTGGCGGATATATTAGAGATAACGTTTTGAAACTCTTCTATTGTTTTTCCCTAATAAATTAATTGAGTTAAATAACGATTGAAGTTTATTTTGGTTTACTTGTAATTGTTTAATTTGTCTATCATAGAGATCTGCATCTTTCCTATCAAAACTGCCAGTACCTAATGCATTTTATAAAAGATCCTAAAGGATCCACGATGCCACGTTTTTGTCTTTTTGAGAAGCTATTTGGATCAATTTGCTTTATGTTGTTTTCTATGCGTTCTTTTATGATTACCAGAAATTTTGGTTTGCCTTTAGAATGTATCGAGTTGAATAATCTCGAAAGGTTTTGAAGGTGTTTCTGTCAATAGCCAACACAAGGGGTCGATCTGATGGATTTATGATATATTTAATTCTTTGATATATTTCACATTCATTCATAAATTTAGTGATGTCAGACTTCAGTGATTTCCAGTAATATTTAATTTACCTGTATTCCACGATAATTAATATTACCTTCTCCTTCTCATTATCATTTCTCTTTCGACTCTTTCCCAGGGCCGTAGCTAGAATCAAATTTGTGGTAGGGCATGAATTTTGACATAGGGCATGCACTACTTCCCCCCGCCCCTTAAATTTTTTATAGGTAAACAGAATGGGGGTAATGGCGCCGAAGGCAAATTTTTCAATAAACAACATCAAATAACATTTCTGGCGAATAAACAAAATGGCGCGTTCAGGCAATAAATTTTGAGGGACCTCTTGTACTTGTACTACTTGTAAAATAACTGTATGCCTACCAACTCATTCGATTTCAGGTCCATTCATTAGCTGTGGTCCAATGGACATAGGAACCGTTCCAGAACTAGCAATTTCCAATTGTCCACCTAATTTTCAATAAGTTGAACGTTTATCCTCCTTGGCAAATGAATTGATCGACTGAAAATTACCGTTCTAGAACGGTTCACATATCGGTTGAAACAGTGCTTTCATCTTCACTTAAATTTTTTAGATAAACCTCAACGTATGTTGTGTTTTAAAGGTAGGGCATCATCATTTGAAAGATAGGGCATTGCCACCCAATGCCCCCCCCCCCTGGCTACGGCCCTGCTCTTTCCCCTTGTTTAACACTATTATTTATGAGTTTTGTGCATTCCACGAGTTTCCAATTACAAAAGTGTTTTGATAACGTTTCTTGAAATAAAGGACGTATTTGTTTTGAAATAAAAAGTGCACATAAGTGGATTTGTCTGTAAGGTTTTCTTGGAGAAAATTAACTATCGCTTCTCGTTTCGTGGGAATCGTAGCTCGGATCGGATTATCTTTTTACCGTCGAAGGTTTCATATTCTCTCATATCATAAGCTAATCATAAAAATGATTTGATATCCTTTGGTGTTTTAGGTACCTATAGGAAAGTATTTCACAGCTTGTATCTTATCTAGATAGGTTTTAGTTACTAAATGTCCACGGTATCGTTAACAGGAAAAGACGATTAGTTTTCCACGATATATCGTTAACACGAGAAGATTATTGGTTTTTATTCGACCCGCAAAATGCAAATTTTTGACTGAACCGGGTCGTTCTTACTGAAATCTCTGTCAAAATGCTACCGACTTCGCACTTACGAGGATATACAAAAGAGAGCATTTAAAAAAAAAACTTGATTTGACTGCTACAATATTAGGTAACTCGCTTGGAACTGAAAATGTTTTTTTTTATAATATACAAATAGTTGAATAAAATAAAATATTAATGCTAAATTGAGGTTGTCAGCACGGGAAGGTAGGTAACTACTTGAAATATCTTCGTCAATTTCCGTTTGCATGGGCGTTTCATTATTCCTAGCTTATATGTATCTACTCTATGAATGCATTGAATCATCAATTTCTGACGGTAGAGTGCATTCTAAGACGACAAATCGTTAATTTGTTTGCGGAAATTGTTCTCCATCACCAAACTGAATTAATGGCCTGAAGGATAACGGAGACGTTATGGAAACGGAGTATGCCGTCTGCAATTAACTAATTTATATTCGCCCGTTGGGCTTTTTATCCGATTCAAACAATCTGCTAGGAACAATGACAGTAGGAACGAAAATCGAAATAATCGCGACAGCAAAAAACTGGTTAGATAAGCCGGAACATAAAATAAAGTTAACAACTCGAATTTTGAGAGTTAGTTTTTAAAAAAAAATTATTTTCAATGGTGGTTACAATACAACTGACTTAAACCTAAGTAAAATTAATATTTATAATTATAAGCTTTGCTGACAAAGCGGTTCCCAAGAAATGCAACGGTCGGTCTAGTTCTGAAAACAAAGTAACAAAATGCTGAACTCTAAGTTTATGAGAATGTAACTCCTCCCGTGTAAGTTGAAAACACGTACTGAAAAATAAAAAACGTGATTTCACAAAAATACAAAAATAATTAAAAAATGCCTTCAATTTCATCACTTTCAATTTTTGGGAACTTTCGAATTTTCTTAATGCACAATAAGCTGAAAAAGTAAATTAAAATTAATATAATGATTAAGTATAATAATATTGTCCAGAGACTGAGGCGATTTGAATAAATCGTCGTGGTTGACATTTCTTCAAGTTTCTTCTTTTGTTCATGAAGTTTTTCTTTTATGTCTTTGGATGTCTTGACGTTAATGATGTTCAAATCCAATGAAGATAGGTCGTAGGGCATTGATTGGTTATGGTTAATCAATGATAGGTCCAATATCGGTAAATTGACTTCTTTAAAAGAGAGTCGACTTGGCTTGAAGCTCTCGAGGGTGGTTGATTGTATTTTGGCTTTACAATCAACGAGCACTTCTAGTAGGTAGGATCCGAAGATGGGTACAGTTTCCTTTAGGTTTTGACAGTTCGTTGAACTTTTGAGTGGAATAGGAACTGTAACGAGCCATTTTCCATCAATAATTTTGGTTATTTGCTGTGCGTGCAATTGAACCTCGAGAGGATGACAAGATGTGATGTTTGTACTGTATTCAATCAGCTGTACTTCGCATGGAAGGTAGTTTTCGATAAAGGTAGTACGGGCTTCTTGACATAGGTATTCATCAGGCGAGATTTCTTCACAACGTTGGTCCATATAGGAGTATTTGACGTCACTAAGTGCTAGGTATGGCTTATGTGGGATGTTGACGAAAAAGGTTTGGTTATGGTTTGTTGGGATAGGTAATGGATGTAGATTGAAGTATTGATACACATCCGCTTCTACAAGTGGGAGTTCCAATATAAATATGACATTAAAATCTTTTATATCCTACTGAACTATTAAAACCATATAATACCTTGGTTACGATAATAATAAACAGGGTCTTAACTCCCAAGGGAGTTAAGGATTTTCATAACTCCCAAGGGAGTTAAGGAAGGGAGTTAAGGATATCATAACTCCCAAGGGAGTTAAGGATTTCCATAACTCCCGCTTTTACCTTGAATAGGTAACGCTTTGACAAAAAATAGAATTTTGATTTATGGCTTATTCCTTTATAAAAATAGACAGAATACAGTAAATTCAGTAGGATATAAAATTATCTATGTACCACGGGAATTATCAGGAGTTAATACCCACGGGCAATTGATGTCCCTCGGGCCAACACCTGCATAATTCCCTTGATACATAAATAACTATTAAGAAACATTTAATTTGTAGAAACTTCTCGAAAATCAGTATGTTTTCAGGTACTGGAGAAATTGGTAACCTATCCGGGTTCAAATGTGATTCGACATTTTTAATTTCAGATAAAAGTTCGTTTGGGTTCACTATCGAGTTATGTAGGGTGTTAAGTTTGGAAAAACTTATAGCTACTTCCAATTTATCATAAGAATACTATAAATTGATTGATACATTGAAGTAATTTGATTAATTACTGTGAACGTTAAAAAATAACCTCGAATGTTTTGGGTTAGATTAGCGTCTTTAATTACTTGTTCAATTTGTAAAATTCGGGATCGAAGGACCAATTCGTTACCTATGTGTTATATTAGAAATCATTTTATCGAATTTATCAATCGTAGAGTCCATTAAGGTGACTTGATTGATTGCGTCCGATTTAAGCTTATTCTGATTTTCTTGTAATAGTTTAATTTTCTCGTCGATTTTCTCGGCGTTTTGGTCTAGATTTCCAGTAATGACTTTTATAAATGAGCCCAAAGGATTAAATAATCCTCTCTTAATTCTATTTGAATTTCCTACTGTTGGAACAATTTGTTTGATTAGATTTTCTATGCGTTTTTCTAGAGTATGTAGGGATACGAGCGAATTCGTATATTCAATATAGAAATTGTCTTTAGAGCTTATATTGAAAGATAAGCGTCTCGCTTGTATTTTAAGAGAGTCAAATTGGTTTATTATGGGAGTCAAGTTAAAGGTTTGTGCAAATGACCATGAATTGGATATCATTTTGGCGGTTCCTAACTTGAAAGGAAGGATTCCTGGATTTTTATTCAAGTTATGGTATTTTACGTGGTTTCCAAGGGTCCATGTCCCTCTAAAACAAGGGGTTTAATTTTGGTTTCGTTTATATGAATTACTTCTTTATGTTTCGGATTTTCTATCTCAATTTTATTATTAGGTAGGATTTGAGTGAGAATGAAAGGACCTAAAAATTTCTTTTTAGATTTTTCCGCTCGATTGTCGGATTTTTTATAAACTTGACAACCTACTTTTTAGTTTTGTGAGATTTTGTCTTTGTTTATTTTGTTAAATAGTTTTTCTTTTGATTGTTGGGTTTTGTTAGTAATTTCATCATAAAGTACTTGAGTTTTATTTTTGTGGGTATTAAGATATTCGGTAAATACGTGAGATGATACTAAATTCATAGGGTCTCTAGAATCTGTGTGTCCTAATACGAGTTCGTAGGGACTAAAATTATTACTAGAATGAATAGTGCTGTTGTAAGCAATAATAGCGTATGGCATAAGTTTGGTGACATCGGAATCTGGGTCTGATTCTCGCGATATTCGAATATGTTCGATTAGAGTAGAATGTAGCCTTTGGACTGGCGAATTAGATTCGTGGTGATAGGGGGTGGTAAAATGTATTTTTATATTGTGGGCTTTAAGAAGTCCATTGACTACTTCGTTTTTAAATTCCGATCCATTATCAGAAATAATTTGTCTTGGTACACCGAAAATTTGGAAAAAGTGAATCAATTGATCTGCGCACGAAACTGCATTTCCTGAATAGGGGAGTGCTTGAGCAATTTTGGAAAATTTATCTAATAACGTGAGGAGTTTACTTGGTGTTTCAGTAAGCACGAGGGGTTGGTCAGGAGGCTTATGATTGTATTTAGTTCTTTGACAAATTTCACAGTTATTGATGTATTTGATAACATCTTGTTTTAAAGATTTCCAATAATAATTGGCTTTTATAAATTTGTGTGTTTCGTCAATACTACGGTGGTTTGTTTTACCTTCGTGTCTATACTTAATTGTGAGTTCTCGGTCTTCTGGTTGTACGTTATTAATCAACTTCGTACATTCAATTAGTTTTAGGTTTTTAAAGTGATTTTTCATGCATTGTTGGAAATAGATTCTAAGATCTTTCGAAAAGAAATAAATGTATGTTGACTTTGTCTGCAGACATTCTTTTAGAAATTTCAAAATAGCTGAAATTTGGGTAGGTAAAGTTGCATGAATGATTTTATTACCATCAAAATTTTCAGGTTCTATTTTAATGTAGGCGTCGTAAGGAGATTTTTTAATATTAAATTGCATTGATTTATTATTGATTATTTCATCTAGCAAAGTCATATTTGAGTAATTGTCTACAGCGTCTGTGCTATGCGCTGTTTGAGTTGGAAGGGACTCAATTTCATTTTGGTTTCTCTTTGGATCAATTATAATAGGGCCTTGATAGTTGGCTTTACTTGTGGGAGGACGACTTTCGAAATTTACTGATGTTCGAATTTGAACGTTCGATACGATATTCACTTTAGGAACTTCAGGAGTTTTTGGAATATCTTCGATTTCTCGTAAGGTTTCTATCACTGCTTCATCTGTGACGCTATTGGGATCGAAACGTGGATCGAGATTTTTGTTTAAAAATTGATTGATATCTTCATCAATGTTTCCGGGAAGATTAATGAGAGATTCAGATTCAATAGCATGTAAGGATATCACTGGCGCCGACTACATGGGGGCAGGTGCACCCATGGGAGCTCTCGTAGGAAATACGGAAGTACAAACGTGTTTAATGCTCATTCCGTTCCATGTGGTAATATCCAGTATCATGTAATTTAAATGTACACAACTTTGTATAGGAATTATACAAGTGGTGTGTGTGTGGTGTGTGATATTCTGTCCATCTGCCCTTCCGTTATTTCTGGTCAGTTCTATGCTCTAAAAAATTATGTAGGCAAAATTATTCTCTTGGTTTTATTCAAGCAAGTTTGTTGCTTTTTGGTAATTTCGCTCATGAAATTTTTGACAAAACCACTCGCTTCACGGCTCGTGGTCATTCGCGAAATTGCCAAACCTCTATACCGGTCGAAAATTTTGGTAACAAAATTTTTTCTCTTGTGGTATTATACAGTGAGGACATAAAGTCCGTCGCCCCCCCTCTAACTTTTGAACCGCTCGGTATATTGCAACGAAATTTGGAATGATGATATGTGAGCAAATTTTTCATTTTTTGAAATGCAAATGACAGCTTCAGCTGTCAAAGTGACAGCTGAGCGCAGTTTTGCAACATTTTTTTAAACAGAAGGCGGTGTCGAGTGATATATCGTTTTGAAGATCTCTTTATTCTTAACTTAATCCCCGATTCTGAAAACATTTGGTTAAGTGGTTTCCAAATGATGGCGAAACAAAAAAGGCTTATTCTGGTCATAATTTTTTTTTTTAGTAATTGAATAATTATTTTATGAGTACTGTTGTTATTTTTTCAAGTTACCATTGTCATTACGTCATTATTTATTACTAAAAAAAAACAATAATGAGTAAAAAACCGATACATTTTTTTTTTAAATTTTTTTCTTATGAGTGTTTATGAGCAAAACAAGCCTTTGTTTTTTCGTCATCATTTGAAAACCGCTAATCCAAATGTTTCCAGAATCGAGGATTAAATTAAGAATAAAGAGACCTTCAAAACGATATATCACTCGACACCGCCTTCTATTTAAAAAAACGTTTCAAAACTCCGCCCAGCTGTCACTTTGACAACTGAAGCTGTCATCAAAAATGGAAAATTTGCTCACATATCATCATTCCAAATTTCGTTGCAATATACCGAGCGGTTCAAAAGTTAGAAGGGGGGCGACAGACTTTATGTCCTCACTGTACATGAGACAATTAGGCAATCTATTCCAATATGGCCGTTCAAGTCAAATTGTGGTGACGTTCATAAAAAAAAGCATTTTGTTCAGGGCCCTTAATGTTGTAGATGCCAAACATGACAATATGACAATGTCAATGTCAAACACAGGGTTGCCAACCCAGCCTACATGAAATATCGTAACGAGCACTTGAAAATTATTGTATTCTGTCAAAAATTATCGTATTTTGCAGATATAAGTTTCCATGACAAAAAAATAGTAAAGTTCGTTTCACCAGGGTTCATACTTGACCTTGAAACTTGACAAAAAAGGGTTGTCGTAGATTAGTTCATATGACACATTCAATTTTTTTGACAAATTAAAATGATTGACGTCTTGTTTAAGAACTGACGAATGTTTTTGACGTGATTGATTTGTTTCAGTCAATTTTTATTTGTTAAACAAGGAAGACAAATGCTGGTGGCAAGTACAAACCCTGGTGAAACAAACTTTACGTATATATTGTTTTATTAGGAGTAAAAATGATACTTTTTGAAGCGAGATTCAAGGTCTGTTCGCACATCAATCACAAACCAGTCAGAGCAAATTTCATTGGTTGAAAACAGTCAGAAACAGTCAGAAAACTAGTTTCAACCAATGAAATTCACTCTGAATGGTTTGGTTTGTGATTTCTTAGCTACACAGCTTTACACAAAAAGTACACTTTTTTGTACGCTCACGCCACTGCCAGACAAAAAAGTAACAAAAAAATGACGTCTGTGAAATTAAACTTCAACATTATAGTTGGGGAGCAGGCGTCAAAAACATGCAAGAGTTTTCGCAAGGCGGATATTTTCAAAATAGGTCGTACTTTAGTGTTAGAATGCTAGTGTACAGTCAGCACTCACAGTTCCGGGACAGCTGGCTCTGGGACGCGGGCAAAGTTGTAATTTTAAGAAGCATCTAAACTGTTTTCTCAAAGCTCAAAATTTATAGAAATTTTGCACATTATCTGTTTGAAGGTCACAGATAACGTATGTAAATCGTCAGACGTCTAGTTCGTTGCAAAAAGGGGGTCAGACGTCCTCAAAGTTTTTATTTTATGGCATTTTCTTCGGTGTCCTGTCAAAATATATTTTTGCAGGTATTTGACAAATATATTTGAAGAAAATGCCATAAAATAAAAACTTTGAGGACGTCTGACCCCCTTTTTGCAACGAACTAGACGTCTGACGATTTACATACGTTATCTGTGACCTTCAAACAGATAATGTGCAAAATTTCTATAAATTTTGAGCTTTGAGAAAACAGTTTAGATGCTTCTTAAAATTACAACTTTGCCCGCGTCCCAGAGCCAGCTGTCCTGGAACTGTGAGTGCTGACTGTACACTAGCATTCTAGCACTAAAGTACGACCTATTTTGAAAATATCCGCCTTGCGAAAACTCTTGCATGTTTTTGGCGCCACCTCCTGGACTATTAAGACTTAAAGTAAAATTGCATCTACGAGCAACAACAGCAAATTCTGACGGACGTCACGAGTTCACTTATCTTTTTTTTACGTGTCAAATCACGTGACATCTGTCAAATTTTGCTCATTTTGCTCGCAGGTGCAATTACCGAACCCTATTCTTATGACATTTTTGACGTTTAAACTATAATCTAGTCATCATCGTACAAGTCTTTGAAGAAACGCTGATACGATTAACCCGATTGCAAGTTATTTATTTTTCATTTTTGTTCAATGAACTCATATGAAAAAAGACAAATTACATCAGCTGGTGATCGAGTTAAGCGGATTAGCGTTTTCTTAAAGGCCTTATGACATATGATAACAAAGACAGCGACCCTCGGCAAAAGTCCAAACTTGTGCTTTCCAAATTCCCTTGTTGCCATTTCTCATGTCAAGACATTGAATATTTCTCATTGTGAAAAACGTGAAGAGAAAAATCATAGAAGCCAAAACTATCGTATAATTGCATACGATAATTTGGTTGCTATCGTATATCGTATCGAGCACACAATTATCGTATAAATATGATAATTATTATCGTATGGTTGGCAACGCTGGTCACACCTAAATGTCCAGAATGTGACAAAATAATAATTTTTCATTGATTTCTGTCAATAACCATGTAAAAGAACTA